ACCCCTTCCTTCTCACCTACACTCGCCAGGTTCCTCGCAAAACCCGTGCGTCTTGTGGCATCCGTGGCGGCAAACTGCTGCAAGAAACCACGAGAAGAGCGTTGCGACATCAGGCAATCAGGCTCCGGACTGGGTCTCGGGGGCTGCCGCAAAGAAGGTGTGCCGCCCTCTTCTTCTTTGAAGGCACGCCAAGAGGGGCATGGTGGCGAGTGACCTGGCCTACCTCGAAGGGCTGACAGGGGGGCGAAGGGGAGGGGATTCTGCCAACGGCTTTACAACCATGAGGAGTGTCCTTGTTTTTGCATTTGGTGAAAGGACCGAAAGGACGAAGAGGGGAGGCAGCTCCAGGCTGGAGGACCAGCAGGACAATTTCCTTTTCATCACTAGGTGTGCGGGGGAGAAGGGGAGGGTACAGGTGTACCTGGGTACAGGTGAGACGGGGATCGAGGTGAAGGAAGGAGGGCTGGGCGCAAGCTGCTTGCTTAATTTTTCAGTGGGGAATATCAGGTTCAATTATCCCAAGAATAGAAAGACACAGGGACATCCACCAGAGAGGTGTCAAAAAAGTCAAGATGGTGACTGACCATGTGATGAAGCCCCACCCCTTTTTGTGCCCACGTGACACACGTAAAAACGGGATGGGGCTTTGGCCATCCTCTTGACTTGTTTGACCCTGGCGCTCAGAAAGATGTCTGCAAACTTTTGGCTGCCAGCCATCTTGACTTTTTTGACCCCCCAAAGACATCCCCCAGTGGGGGAGAGTTCAGGCTGGAAACCACAGCAGTAGGAGGAGCATCAGGGCAATGGGATGACCTCCCCTTCTCTAGCCCCGTCTTCCTTGCCCTGCCCTGCCCCATGCCAGCCCGCCAGCCCCGGACATACCCCGCTGGCACTTGTTTCCCGTCCAGCCGTCGAGACAGACCTTGTTCCCGGCCGCGTCGCAGCTGTGGTGCCCAAAGAAATCGTTGCGGGGCCGGCAGAACAGGTTGCATGAGGGCCCGTGGTAGTGCTCCTGGCAGCGCACACGTACCCGGTAATCCAGCCAGGTGCCGCGCCCGTAATGCCAAAAATCTTGCCAGCCTTCGCCTGGGTTCACCATCCCCGAACGCGTCACCCTCTCCATCAGCTGCCCCGAGCCTGCAAACACACAGTGGGAGGCGAGTGCGCGGGTGCGTGTGGAGGACGCTGTCGCCAATCGCATACAACGTCCAGTCTGAACGTCCAGAACTGGAACATTCAGGCAGACTCAAATAATTCGCCAACCACCCCGAACGCTTTGCTCATCCCTGAGTGCCTGGATCCCGTGCCCTGAGCCGCGCTGGAAGTGAACACAAGCCACTAGTCCACCCAGAGGCTGCAACAAGGGGCGAAAAACTAAACTCATTCGCCTCGCCGGCCATGCTGCAGATCTTGAACCCTGCCCCCAAGAAATCCACAGCCCAGGCTGTCTCCCTGCTCATTTCTGGCGACTGCTACTTAGGAGTAGAGTGCCTCTGCACAAGGAAGTTCCAGCTTTCACAGGCCACAGGCCAATGACGAGCTCAGAGCTCAGAGCTCAGTGACCAGGAATGTAGCTGAAAGGAAAAGAAAAGGCTCAGAGGTATTATTTTCTCAGTCTCGCATACACAGTGAGCAACCTGTGTTTAGCCACTTTCCAGCAAAAAAATGGCACGCAGAACTGCTATCCGAATGGCTCGAGGCACGAAAGCCGCCACCTGCTCTGTTCTTTCGCCTCGATGGCAGCACCTGGGGAGGCGCATTGTGCCAGGGATTCCCACCGTACAGGTTCAAGAACTGGAGCACAACATCCAGACGGCTCTGAACGTCCCACCCCCACCCTACTTTGCACCCACCACCCATCTCCAGCAAGGGAGAAAGGCGATCCTTACCTGGGTTGGTGACATCACTGGCATTGGCAGCGTCCCAGGCCTCCAGAACCAGCGAGTACGAGCGCTAGAAGGAACGAGACAGAAGCTCTCCAAAGCATTCTCAGCCTGGAAATCGGTTTCTGGAAACCGATCTGACCACCCCCCCCACTCCCCCAGTTGCATTCAGTTATATGCAAACACACTGAACGGGAATGAAATCATTTTTAACATCTCAAAACAGCACCTCCACTGAGCCTGGATTGGGTTCAGAGAAATTAATTAATTGAAAAATAAATCAATACATAAAAACCAAGCGCTCTTCATTCTCGTCCTAAGACTTAATCTCTGGCACCAACTGGAAAGGCTCCCACCTGGTCTGCATGAACAGGTGCCGAGAGCTTTTACCTTATTTCCAAGGCACCCCTGGGGAGCGCCCAGACGGCAGGATCCTCTTAGCGAGGCTAAGGGCCCCGTGGCCCTAAATGACAATGCCCAGCATCCTCGGCCCTTGGCTGGGGCTGCGGTGACTGCACTTCAGCACCTGCTAGAAGGTCCCGGGTTCCCCACCTCGGCAATAACTCCTTGAGACGGGCACTGAGCTGAAGCAAAGTCCCAGCCGGAGAGAAGTGAATCATCCACGAGGGACACGTCAGTCAAGGAGAAGAGTTTAATTAAGTGATCTGCCTCCTGATCTCGTTTCTCTTCCCTGCCCTCCCCTTTCCCCTTGGGAGGGGTGGGTCATGCAGCTCTGACGGCTGGCCCCGGGGAGGCTGGAGGGAAGACCGTCCTGCCTTGCCCTCCTCGGGCTGGAAACTCCCAGGCACAGC